CTGAGACAGATCAAAAAGAAAGTCCTGGAAAATCACCACCATGTTCTTCGAGTCCCAAGGTCACTCACCAGTCTGCCTGCTTTCCAAACTTTCAGAGTCTTCCTACGTTTATTTAAAAAATAACTTCTAGGGTTTTTGTTGTACTTAGCAGGAGCGATAGGGGAAAATACTTCCTAGAGGAAGTCTGTATATTGATTTTGACTAAGGAAAGTTTGTTTTCAGTAGCCTTGTCCAATAGACTCTTCTCTCATGGATTCTTCCTTATCCTTTATGCCTAAAGTCCTTTTCTGCTCCTAGATGCGACAGTCCCTATCCATACTCTTGTCCTATACGCCTCCAATCTGCTCGGTGACTGCTTTGTACCTCTCTTATCTTCACAAACCCCCATCCTCAGTGAATGACCCAGCTTCCTTCTTCACTGAGAAAACTGAAACCACTAGAAGAGAACTTTCCACCACCTCTACCCACCACTGGCACCTGCTGCCACACATGTGGCTGCCCAGCTTGTTTACTACAAGAGTGGTCCCCGCTTCTGCTCGACCCCACCTTCCATTTGTGTACCGGATCCCATCCGGTCTCGCCCATCCACAGACTCTGTTCAACAATTCTTTCTTCAAAGTCAGTTTTTGCTCTGCACTGGATTGTTCTCATTCATCAGCAACAAAAGCATAAAAATGCTTGTACTGCCACCTTAAAATATAAATCTCTCTGTTCTGCTTCCCACTTCAGTTTCTGTGTTTCATGCCTTTGTCCCCTCTCACAACAAAACTTGTGGAAAGTTTTTTTTTTTCCTCTAGTTGTTGTCTCTAGTTCCTCTTTTCTAATTGTTAAACCCATTCCGGCCTGGCTTTTGCCTCACAGCTCCAACAGAAGTACTTTTGTGAAGGTCACCAGTGACCTTTATGCTAATTCCAGTGTTCATTTCTTGATCCTCTCCTTTTTGATCCATCAATAGAATCGGACTCAGCTGATCCCCTCCTCTTCTTTGAGGAGCTGTCTTATGGCTTCTGTCTCGATTGTCCTCCTACCCACTTGGCTGCTTCTCTGTCTCTTTTTTAGATTCATCATCATCTTGATCTTTCAATGTTCATGTGTACAGGACTCAGTCCTGTAACATTCATTTCCTTGAGGATTTCTTCTTGTCACATGACTTAGACACCATCTTTATGCTGATGATTCTCCAGTTTTATCTCCAACCTTATCAGACCTTTCCTGAATGCCAGACTCATTTATCCAGCACTTCCATGTGGCTGCTCATAGGCACCTCCAAGTCACCGTGTGCAAAACTGAGCTGGTTTCCCCAATACCCACTTGACCTACAACCTGTAGCAGCTCAGTTGGTGGCAACACCATTCTTCTAGTTGTACAACTTCTAGTTGTAAAACCCAGGAGTCCTCCTAGGTTCCTCTCTTTTTCTCACTGTATATATCCCATCTGTTGAACAGTTAAGTTGACTTTCAACGTATCCTCTGTCCATCCCTTCTCAGCACCTCAGCTGTAGCCACATTGCTCCAGGTCATGTTCATCACCGGCCGGGACCACGGTGAGATCCTCCTCACTGGTGTCCTTGCTTATAGCCTGCACTGTACATAACAGTGAGAATAGTGTTAATATGTCAGTTCTATGCCAATCCTCTTTGGTTCCCCAGGGGACCGTGAGTCAGCTTCAGCATCCTCTGGTCACATGGGCCTCCCTGCCGTTCCTCAGACATACCAGGTTCACATGTGCCTGGATCATTTGAGAAAGTTATACCAAAAAAAAAAAAGCTATTGATACGCTATTGACACTTTCTTAAATTTATTATTTTTAAAAAAATTGATGTCTTTCTGATTAGAAGTCTTTCCTAACCAGCATATGAGTCTCTTTATTCACCTCTTTGATGTCCCTTGGAAATGTTTTTGAGTTTGATATATGTAAATCCTGTTGCTTGATGCACATGTATTCTATTGCTATTTTGAATGGGGTTCTCGTCTATAATTTTTCAACTGGTTAGTGCTGGTATGTAAGAAATTATTTGGCTTATATATTTATTATATAAGTGTCTCTCCTTGGAACTGTTAAAGCTGAACGTCTTTCCAGCTCTAATTACTCTTTGGTTGATGCTCCATGTGTTCTGATTCCTCTTGGTTCTGTACTTGCTATGGATCTTGCACAGGGCTGTTTTTCTCTCAGATTCCTTCAGATTATTCCTGCCTGCCCTTAGGCTCTTGGCTTTTAGGCCCTGAAGCACTGAGGCTGGGATGGGGGCCTCTCCTTGGCCCTCCCCTGGCTCTTCACAGGACCTCTGTTCAGACACTTAGAAGTTCTAAATGCAATCACCAGTTCACCTTTTCTTAACCAAGCTTCATGATCAGTTAGGGCTTGGAATGGAGTTGGTGCTCTATAGGTATTTATTGAAGTAGAGTAGTGAAGGACTGAAGTATTTGTCTTCTTCATCCTAGACCTCCCAACTCACTTTATTGGGAATGCTCTTGTACTTGCAAGAGTTTCTCAACTTTTTATCCAACTCCTCTATTGATTTTTTTCTAGTCAATTTGTATATGTTTTGTGATATTTTCACCCAGCCTTATTTCATAGTGACTTCCACCAATACTGAACATTCCAGACAACTCTCTATTTGACAGTCAAGTCTTTCATTTGTCTAATGTGTAATGACCACTTCCATGCTCACTTTGTAATCTTCTGTAACCTGCTGTGTCTGTTGACTTTGACGCCCTTGCTGACTTGATGACTCTTCTCCCCTCTCAGATTCAGGCTTCTTCAGGAGAAAACAAGTACACTGGTACCTTGGACTGTGCAAAAAAGCTATACCAGGAGTCTGGGATCCGCGGCATCTACAAGGGGACTGTGCTAACCCTTATGCGAGGTAAACTTTGAGACTCTCTACCCGACATCACCTTGGGGGGAGGGGTCACCTGATGTGGATTTGCCACAGATGTCCTTGCCCAGATTGCCAGATTAGCCTTGGTACCACGCAGACCACAGCTCTGATGAGGCTGGCACTGTGTGTCCTCATTTTAGGCAGTCTCTCCTCTGGCCAGCATGAATATAAATGAGGATGGGGGGGACCTTCCATCCTTCCGGCAGGCTGGCTCTCAAAGGTGGAAGTCATGACAGTGGTAGTTGGAAGAAAGTGGCAAGTAGGTAGAAACTGTGACCGGAGGGATAAGTGGGAAGAAAGAGTGACTTAGGAACAGTGGGGCTCTCCCTGGTTCGAGAGGCATGTCCTGCTGGGTGGCAGTAGGTGAGGCAAAGGTGGCCCCACCCTTGTCCTGAGATGGCAGCCTGGAGGAAGGCCGGTGTGGTTATAACTGCTTGGAGTGAGCATGTTAGTGGGGACAACTCAGAGGGGACTTGGAAGATGGAAGGATGTCACATGTATATACTCACACCAGCGCTTGTGCCAGAGCAGCACCTGGTCACTGCAATGTAGTTGTTGAAAATGGGAGGTGCTGCTGAGGGACTTTTCAGGACACCCCAAAGGACCCGAGGCCAGGCTTGGCTGTGCTAAATTGAAAAAAATCTGTGAGGATTTTATATCATTTAATTTACCTCTTTCTTGCCACTAACAGATGTTCCAGCCAGTGGGATGTATTTCATGACATATGAGTGGCTGAAAAATATCTTAACTCCAGAGGGAATAACAGAACTTAGAAGTCACTTTGCTCAGTCACGGGGAGGTCGCCCTTTCCTGTACATGGGTGTGGAGGCAGGAGTGGGACTTGCTTCCGCCTCCACGTCCCCTTTCCCCTTTTTGCCGCTGAGGCCCAGCTGACGCCTCTTGCTCTGTGCCTCATCCAGTGGAGCAAGCATTTGAGACAAGGGCATGAAACCCCCTCCAAGGCATGGTGGCTGCCATGTCACAGGAGCCCTGGCCTCAGACCTCCTCCCTTCAGTCAGTGTCTCTCCCTTGTAACTGCCCTGCCTGCCACAGGAGGGATGGTCTGAACACAGCTCTCACAGCCTTTGTGTGACTGTGGCTGGTGTTCTGCAGTGTCAATGAGCTCAGCGTGCCTCGGATCCTGGTGGCTGGGGGCGTCGCAGGGATCTTCAACTGGGCTGTGGCAATCCCCCCAGATGTGCTGAAGTCCCGCTTCCAGACTGGTAAGTGGAGGGTACTGGGGTGGGTGAGGGTGGAGTAGGTCCCGGAACTGGCCGCCCCCGGGGTGCAGAGCTCTTAAGGCCTGAGGGATACTCGCTCTCCACAACACACCCAGCATCTGTCTGCCCAGCATCTCCAGGGCGGTCGTTTGTGTTCTAGGAACTCTAGGCTCATTTTCATGTTGTCCTAAACACAAAATAAGTGAGATAAGGAGTCAAATCAACTCTCCTTCCCCCACATGAGCAGAAGGACCCTTTCATTGTTCATTTCCCTTTTCTACTCAATTGGCACCTGTAATCCAGATATTTGTGTCTGTTTGTCCCAAGGTGAACTGTGTTGTCTGTGGACAGGTCCCAGATGACCTGCAGTGTGTCCTCTCCTGGTGCTGTGACCTTGCAGGAAGACTTGACTATAAGATTGTCCTCATACGTGTCTTCATATGGTCAGGTCAGGAAGCTTCCTGAAGCCTTAACAGTTGGGTTCTGCCCACAGCACCTCCTGGGAAATATCCTAACGGTTTCAGGGACGTGCTGAGGGAGCTGATCAGGGACGAAGGGATCACATCCTTGTACAAGGGATTCAACGCAGTGATGATCCGAGCCTTCCCGGCCAACGCGGTGAGTGGCTGGCCGGGGCTGTGCTTTCCCTTCGGGGTTCAGAGCTGGGTGCTCGTGGGCTGACTTTTGCTTGCTCCTGGGATTGGATTGGGGGCTCGGTTCTCCCAGAACTCTACCCTCAGCCAGAGCCTCCTAATTTGCTCCCTTTCCCGAAACTGTCAGGAAGCTTTGCCTTTGCCGTTCTCTGAGGCGAGGGGCTTTGATTTCCTGACCTGGTTGTCAGAAGCAGGCAGTTGTGGGACATGCATCTTCCTCCCTCGGGAATGAGAGAACACAGTTTGATTCCCGGACCTGGAGTGGGAGCGAGGTTAGGGAGGGGTTCTAGTCCTCACAGGGCCAGCCAAGCACATGCCGGGGTCTCTGTAAATAGTCACAGCTCCTGCTGGCTTTTCTCTTCTTCCAACCCCTTCTCAGGCCTGTTTCCTTGGCTTTGAAGTTGCCATGAAGTTCCTTAATTGGGCCACCCCCAACTTGTGAGGCTGAAGGCTGCTCAAGGCTCTGGATGCTGTCACCGAAGAGGAGCAGTAGGCAGATGTCCTGACGGGTGAGGGAAGGGGGATGTGAGATCAGAGCTCTGTGCATGGACTTGTTGAGACCATTTGCCTTAATGACATCCTCTACCTGGTAGAACTTGGTGTGCCATTGGGAAACCTGAATTCACTTTTGTCAATTTAAGGGATCTCAAGAGGATTTAGAGATGTATTATGTAGCTTCTAGACCAGATACCACCTGTGGCCAGAGTACTATCTATTGGTTGACTACTAGCCCTGTCATACCCAAAATACTCACCTCGAAAGAGAAAATCTCAGCCTGCCACTGGAGGTACTATGCACAGTTTCAGCCAGCTGCCAGGAGCTGGGGTCATCTTTGATCCCTAGCTAGAAAAATGCACCAGATTTCCAGGGTACCATCCTATCCTGGCCTGCACATGGGGACTTGAGGCCCACGTCTGTCTGTCAAGTGGACTGAGTAAGTGTGCAGGGGCAGGGAGCCTGATAATGGCTTGACTTTATTTTTCAGGCATGCAAATAATCAAAATTGAAACTAAAGTAGCCTAATTTCCCAGAAGAAGGTGAAAAGCTTTTCCTCCCACACAGTGAGGAGGGTTTTAAATCAAGAGTCCCAGCCTGCTGGGATCAGTGAGAAAGTCCAGGGTATAGGAAGGCTCTTTTTGCACACTCGTTTCTCATGGGAGCCCCCTGTTTCAACAGGAAACAATAAATACTGTTTTTAATTTTTGCATTGTGTGAGATTTCTTTCTTTTGATTCTGGGTCATTTTCGCAGGCAACTCATGGCCTTGGTAGAAGCTGTCAGGGATCCAGCGTCCTTACCTGATTGCTTCAGGCAGGGGCTCCAGCAAGAGAAAGAGGGAAAGGTTTTGGCCAATCCAGCCTTCCCCATTGCTCCAACCCCAGCTGCTTGAGGAACAGTCAGGTTGGACGGTGTGGGGTGACTTGATTGGTAACTGTTCCTACAGCCCTCAGTGCAAACCTGGCACGCAGGCCCCACGAGCCCAGCCTGCAGCTCATTCAGTCGTTCCTCAGCCTCTTTGCTCTGAGTCACATAGGTGTCTGAGCGAACAGATGGAGAGTCGGTTGTCCTAAAAGGCCAAAAGCACTTCCGAGTTTTCATATGGGCTTTGGGTTGCCGTGTGATATGATGACACCAGCCTGGCTTTACTCATCAGTCTGAGGGTGATGCCCAGGTGGTGAAGCTCTCGGGTGGCTGCCCAAGGAGGTGAGGGAGTTGGAGGGTCACAAGCTAGTCCTTGTCTGGTGGAGGGTGAGGCTCCTAGAGCTGGGCTTCTCTGGCAGCGTCCCATCTGGCAGTCATAGTTACTGTTGCACTGGCACTTCCCGCATTGCTGCAGCTACTTAGAGACCCTTGGACTTTGCTTTAGAGCCACCACTGTATATAAATGGGTGAGTGGGGCAGGGACCCACACTCATCCGGGAATGGGTGTAGCCAACCTAGCTGAAAGCTGAAGATTGGGGGGTTGAAGGAAGGAGGCTTTATTCCTGAGAATATACTTCTGGGTAACCAGATAAGAATTATGGTCAAGTCAAAAAACAATATTTTTTAGAGATGAAAATTGTGTGCCCTGTGCCTGGGATGATTAATTCACTGTTAACGCCTGTACCTCTCATGCTGCGGGATGTCTCTGTTTAATCTCTTTGCTTTGGAGATAGCTGCATATGTGTCTCCTGAAGCTTTTTATCAGCACTACCCAGTTTTTGAGACAGTCCTGAAACCTCAGCCTTTGCTTGAAGCCCCTGGGAGTTCATTTGCATTCCAGTGAAATGCCAGTCATTCCCTTGGCTCAGGATCACTTTTACAGTCTGTGCTTCTGGGTAATTTGCCCTTTGAAACAACTTCTATTTTAAAACACGATGTTTTGGTTCCTTGATGTTAGGGGTGGTAGATTCTTTTACTCCTTTGGGTGTTCAAGAGACTCTAAGTCCAATAGGAAAGCCCCTGGAGACATATTTGTGAAGGCAGCAGAGCAGATGGTGAGTAACTCCCTTCTGGCTGGCACTTCCTTTTTATGATGCACTTTGAAATGCCACCTGTTCCTGATATATCTCTTCTCTCCCCGTTAGGGGTAAATGTGGGGGAGAGATTGGGGCCCTCCCCAGCAATTTCTCTGACTGTCACATACAGCGTAAGTAGAATCTAGAGAGTAATCGTTAAAACAACCAGCAAGTGATGACAGCCTCACCCAGGCACAAAGCAGAGTATAACTGGGTCAAAGGTGAAGGACAGAGGGCAGGTTGTTGGAACAGCAGCCTATTAGAAGCAGTAGTAGCACCATAGCCGCTGTCCTTACATACCATCTCTACCCACAGTTCTTTCTCCTCAGGATTTTGAGGCTGGAACCCACTATCTCCCTTCTAGCCTTTTTAGGGGTTCATTCTTATCTCTTTATCCCCATGTAACTCATTGTTTAATGGGTAGGGATTTTTACCCCCGTGTTCAGATGCGGAAGCCAAGGCTCAGACAGGGTAAACTGATATGCCAAGATCATTGGCAAGTTGATAATAGAGTGGGAATAACAGAGTAGTGTCTGGGTGTCCACAGGCCTGAAGAAAGACTTGTTCAGAGTCTACCAGAGGCTGTCCTGGGACTGCTTGACCCAAGCTCCAAGAGGCCTGTGTGTGCCACAGGGTCAAAGCTCAGGCAACTGGCCTGTGAATCAGGCCAGGGGTGGCACATAGAGTCCCAACAGGCATTGGCAAGGCCCCCAGGGGCCAGGTGCTCCCAGAGGGCTCCCTTTCTGCTTCCTCTGCTCTGGTCAGCATGCAGGCCTGTGACTCTCCAGCCAGGCTGTCTGGTGCTTCCCACATTCTACCCTTGCCCTGAGGTGTCTCAGAGGCAGACTCTAGGTCCATTGCAGAGACTGACACTTTCCTGGGACACAGAAAGTGTCACCAGACCCACTGCTGTCTGACTAAACATGTGTCCTGGGGAGAGGAGTGGCTCACAGGTATAGAAATAGGTGGCCCAGGAATTGATTGCTCCCTGGAGCAAGGACATTGTTAAAACAGACCAGACTTCCTGGCCTCGTGCTGGAGGCATCATGGACATTGAAGAGGCAGAGGAAACATAGCCCACTGTCCCAATCCCTTCTGCACACTAGAGGCTTGTGAACACCTCTAAAACAAAATAGAAACTGATGGTGCTGGATTCTAAATGATCTGGGAGGACTGGACCAGAGGGTCTGGCTTGCAGAGGTGGTCAGGTAACCAACAGGTCTCATGCGACAAATGCAGGACTGAAGTGGCTTATAGAAGTGGCCCCTTTGGGCAGAGAAGGGGACACCAGAGGGTGGAAGGTATGTAAACTGAGGGGTTTGGGCCAAGAGCAGGCCTCCAGAGGAGTCTGGGAGAGTTTGGGCGTCTCTTCTTCCTGAAGACAGGAGAAAAAAACCTTTTAAAATAAAACCCCAATCAAGAGCACATGAAATCCACAGTTTCATTGGAAATAGCAATTTGACACCCTACCCATGATCATTTTCACCAGATCCACTGCTGTCAGGCTAAACATGTGTCCCACCTGTGTTATTCTGCATCCATAGTTGTAAACATCTCTGAGAATTGGCCCCATTTTGTCCACGTCTGCCTGTGGTTGGTGGTGTGGCAGTCTGAACAAGATGTTGAGTTCCTGCTAGGTAGTGAGTAGGACTGGTTGGAGCTGAGCTCCTGTCAGGGCTATGGGGCCTTCTCTTCTCTATTATGGTCCCTATATTTCTCTTGCTTTTGGAGGTCTCTACTCCCACCATCACTTACAGCTATTTCTCAGTTCCTGGCTGCCTGTAGGTTTGGTTGCCATGGTAACCCCCAGTGGTGCAGCTGGACAGGCTTGAATGAAGGCAGCCTTAGGAAGGTAAACGTAGATGATATGGGGCTCGGGCCCCTGGTATTCTCTTACTCCAGGGCCCTCTTCTATTACCAGCTCAACTGGGCATTCATGAAGGCCTTTGGGACTCTACTTCCCACTGAAGGGTTTCCCAGAAGTAGGAGAGATGGATCCCTGCTCTGGGGACCAGGTGTTAGGGGAAGGAAGCAAAGTTTGGCCTGGAGGCTGCCTGTCTACTCTTACTCTGAGGCTAGTCTGTGGAGACAGGTAAGGAGCCCCATTCCCTTTGGTCAAAGGATGCCTTTGAATGCCACGTTTGATGGCTGGCTGGATGACCAAGCTGTGGAGCTTCTGAGAACAAGACAGGCAGACCAGCCTGCTTTTGGCAGAGGTTGATGGAGGTTGTTTGGAGCAACTGGGAGAACCCACCCACACTCAGCTCTGTCGTCAGGCCTGGAGTAACCTCCCTCTACCCTGTTTTATAATTGAGGTCGGAGCCCTAACTATACAGATGCCTGTTCCCTTTTAAAACAAAAAACCTGACAAACGGGCACACTCAGGGGTGGAGTTGTGAATTTGCCTTTCCAAAGGGTTGATTATAGGATTGTTTAAAATGGATCAGATCCCCAGGTGTGTTGGTGCAGTGGGGGTCACACCCAGGTTTCCTGGGTCCAGGCTGACTCCTGGAATACTTAGAAGGGTCAGTCTACCCAAAAGCAGAGAAGAGCTGAGGAACCATGCCCCTCCAGCCCCTCCAGACCCTCTAGCCCCTCCCTGCCTATCCTTAGTGAAGTCTTTGTATTTTGAGATCAGAAGCATAGCTTTGAAGTAAAGGATCCTAATTCTGAGATTGTGAGGCCAGGAGAGCAGTTTAATTGGTTCTGCTTGCTGTGTGGAAATTTATCATTCATTTATTCAGTAAACCTTCTCCAAGAGGGTACAGTAAGACCCAGCAAGGAAAAAGTTGAACACTATCCCTCCTCTCACGAGGCTGATGATCCAAGACTCCTTTTGGAATTCAAGGATCTTCACCAAGGGGACATTGCTATTCAGAGACACAGACCTGCCTGGCCTAGAGCTTGGATGCCTTCTGCACCAGAGGGGATCAGGTGCTCCTTCTCCTTCCTCCTCTCACGAGGCTGATGATCCAAGACTCCTTCCGAGGTTCAAGGATCTTGACCAAGGGGACTGCTATTCAGAGACACAGGCCTGCCTGGCCTAGAGCTTGGATGGCTTCTGCACCAGAGGGGATCAGGTGCTCCTTCTCCCAGAAACTCAGTTCCCAGAAGCACTGAGCTCCTGGGTGTGTGCCAAGCCAATATGAAAGGTCCTAGTGAGGATTTTAATTAATACTGGTTAATTACCAGGCGGAGCTTAACCATCCCAAATGCCTTTCAGTTCCCAAGTCTATAGTGAGTCACTTTCTGATGGGGCCCGGCAAGGAGGAGGACTCTGTCTTATGTTCACTGGGCCTTTGGTCAGTGCCTAGGCTGTGGCATGGACATCCTAGGAAGGTCTCCACCTTTTTCTATTCCCTTCCAGTCTGGTGTGAGTGAAGGGGTTAACTTGAGAAATAGACTGGCCCCTTCAGTTTGCCTATGCCCCCTCCGGAGGGGCAAAAGACAGCAATGCCTTGTGATCTGCTCAATATCATCAAGCAGTGCTGGTCCAGGCCCCAGGGTAAGGTGTGCAGAGAGAAGGTGTGTGCAGATCCAGTCCTGAGAATCTGGTGGGAGTGCTCAGGAGGAAGAACGGGTACAGAGGTCATTCTTGGGCCTTATTCCCTTTTCCCAGGGTGCACGCTTGGCCTTGGGAGCTCTCCCAGGCTTCTTTCTCTGTCTGTGGCTCTCAAATTACTGTATCATTGGAACTCCTACTATCTACAAAGCCTTCACCGTATGACATCTTACAGACCTCCTGCCAGACTTCTGAGGGTCTTACGGTCATTCCACCATTCCACCCAGCGGCCAGGGTGATCCTGACTCTCACGGTCCACTATGCTAGGACGGCTTTCCTCCAGATCTTCCTGTGGTCGGATCCTGCCCAGGCCTCAAAGTCAACTTGATGTCACCCCGTAAAGTGGGTCCTCTTGCTCTCCACCGCAGCCAGAAACACACTGAGGAGGTCATGTGTGATGCTGCGTCTGGTTCTGGACTGTGTCCCTGACGCCTACTGAGTGGTGGCAAACAGGAGGCTCTTAGCGTGTGTTGAAAGAAGAAATGCAAGGCCGTCGTGACTAAGTAAGAGGCACTGACGACTCTGCTGAACGGGTGCACCATTCACTCCGGCTCCTCCACCGCGGACCGGCCGGAGCAGGCGGGCAGCTCAGTGGCGCACGCGCACTGAGGGCCG